AGATAGATAGATAGATAGATAGATAGATAGATAGATAGATAGATAGATAGATAGATAGATAGATAGATAGATAGATAGAAAGATATGTATACATATGTTCCCCCCTTTCCCCCCMAAAAAAATAATTCAAACAAAAAAATCTATATCAGGTCCCTCCCAAACAACAATTTATGTCATCACACACATATTATATACAGTACCTTTTTTTTCAACAAACTAACCTTTATCATTCTCTTAAATATACAAACTTTTTCTGCAATTTTAACGATAATCTCGAGATTATTCCACAGTCGTATACATGGATTTAAAGTACTTCTTTCATTGAAACTGGTTTGAAAATGTGATTTTTGAAAATATCTCAATTCCTGCTTACTGCAGATCTCTCTCTTAACAGATATTGATTTGACATTTAAAGGTAAAACATTTTTGTGAAACTAACCTGTAAAGTACTATAATTAACTAAATTTTAATGATTTCAACTGACAAAATATTGTATTTTTGGGTGATTGTAATGTTTTCTTGTATTTATTGTTACTGCTCTTTTTAAAAAAAATTGTAACTGTTTTGCATGCTTTTCCCCAGAGTTCAATACAAAAGATTAAATGTAGAACAAACATTGCATAACACTATGAACATAGCTTTATCATCCAGTAACTCTTTTACTTTATACAACAAAGCAATTGATTTAGCTATTTTTATTCTAAAATAATTTGTATGAGATTTCCATGTCAGCTTTTCATCAATGATGACAACGATCATGAACTGTAAATATAATCTCAATAGTTTTCTGTTCCAAATTCAATGATAAATTTTTAAGTTGAAACCAAGTTTCTTTTTTTGATAAATTCCTCCTGTACCACCTCCAATATTGTCAAATTTATAGTAGGTTTTGACCCAGGGAGCAGCAGTAAAACTTATTCAAAGAAAAACTGTCTGGTAGGAGCACGAAAGACCAAMCAAATCGGCTGTGGAAAGCACAATGAACTGATAACACCTGGCATGAAGATCAGGTGTGGAGAAGCTCGGGAGGAACACGGAGCAGGCACACAGAGAAACAAGAAACAAAACAAATCAAAGAATGAAATAAACACAGATCCTCACAAATATCTGATCAATATTTTCACAAAAATTGTGGTGTCATCAGCAAACAGAATACATTTTAAACACCAAATCATTGACATAAGAAAATAAACAATTTTGGTCCAAGCACAGGACCTTGAGGAACTCCACAATTATTATTATTTAATTCACATCTTACATTTACCTGTTCACTGTAGTGCTAATCCTTTAATACCATATCTATTCTACTTTTCAATAGGGTTGAGGCAGTCAGTAGTGTCAAAAAGACTCCTTTAAGCCAACTAAAATGCTAACACAACAACAGCAGTCATCGCTTCCATTAATTCCATAAGAGCTATTGACATTGAATTATTCTAAACACATAATGACTACCACCTTAAATATTGTTTTTCTATAAACCTAGTATATTTATGTCAACCCAATATTTTAATACTTTGTCTGCAAGATTTTTTACAATGCTCAAAATTTCTTCCTTATTAGTTTCACCAAGAAAAATGCTGTAGACTCTACCCATGACTGTATGACTCACATCATTATTTATTTGGTGTTTTAGTTGAAGACTTGGACTAACAATCCCATACTACTGATTAAATTCATTTTTTTAATTTTACTATGATCATAGTTTTCCTTGTCATCCTCTACAAAGTGTGAAATACCTGAACAATCCATTAAAAGATGACATGAAATGTGACAGTTCAGGYTTTAGTAACGATTTGCTTCCATTGTATTCCTTTTTACATGTATCTTGTGTGAATGTTGCACTACTGGAGATAATTTATTGAAACTTTCTTTAGATGAAGACTTACGACCAATTCACTTTAAAAGTCAACCAGATTCAAAATGGCTGTCATAGCCAGCGGACCTTAGCAAACACAAAAAATAGCTTCATGTCATGGACTTTTACAGCTATTGACCTAAACTTTGGTGTGGTAGTAGCTCAGAGCTATCCAAAACACATACCCAACCATATGAGGTTCTAAGTGTAAAATAAAATGTTAAAACAATGCCACTCACAAATTCAGACAAATTCACGTTTTTCCTGTCTTCGCTGTCTACCAAGGACCCGGCCCACCTAGACTGGGTAGGTGGGTCCTTTGGAGGACCCAGCCTCTGAATTTGGACACACAGCCCTTGTGTAAATTACGGTTAGTGGTTACTTTTGTTGCAAAATGATGATGTCATAACAAGTGTAACAATGGCAAAGGATGTTCCATTCTGAAATATTATTTGTAAGCTTTATCATTTAGCTGCAACATTTAAGATTTCATTTTTACATTTAGATTTACATATTTAGATGAAGGGTTTAGTAATTATACATATTATTTAACAGGGCGGCTGTGGCAGAGTGGTTGGAGGAGATGTTTTAGTCGTTGTGTCCTCGAGCAAGACACTTCACTCGCTTTGCCTACTGATGGTGGTCAGAGGGTCCGGTGGTGCCATTGCATGGCAGCCCCACCTCTGTCAGTGTGCACCAGGACAGCTGTGGCTACATCGTAGCTTACCACCATCAGTGTGTGAATGGGTGAACGATTGAAGTGTTTTGAACGATTGAAGAGCTTTGGAGTCCGGTAGGACTTGATAAAGTGCTATACAAGTTCAAGCCATTTACCATTTCAATTTAACATTTGGTAAAAATTAGCAAAAGAATAGTGAGCTAAGTAATAGTAAAATGTTAGATTTTTTGAACTATGATTTTACATTCAGAAAGTGAGGTAATATAATTATATTATAATTCATATTGTTAGTGACACTTTTTAACATTTCATTTATACTTGGTGCCTGTCTGTGTAAAGTGTGTGTTATAGATAACTCTCAGTTAGTCTCTTTGAAAAATAAAAGCAAATTGTTATGAATCTGTCTCTGTCTGCCCAGTTCTAGTCTTGTCTCATGTTCATTCAGTTTCATCCTGCTCCTCTGCTCATTGCTCCTGCCCCTCCCGTCACAGAAATCTCAATCAGCTCATTCATCGCACCTGCTCCTGTCAGTATTTATTCCAGCTCCTGCCTCCAGCCCGTTGCCAGATTATCATCAGCCTTGTCTATGATCTTCCAGCAATCTTGTTCCTTTCTTGCCTTGAGTCCCCGACCCTGCTCATGTCTCTTGGACCCACGTCTCCTGCCTCAGCCCCTGTCGGATCCTGCGTGTCATCTGTTCTCCTGGTAACGACCCTGTTTCTGTTTCTCGGACCCACGCCTCCTGCCTCAGCCCCTGTCGGATCCTGCCTGCCTTCTGCTCACCTGGTAACAACACTGTTTCTGTTTGTTGGATTTTCGCCTCACGTCTCGCCCCTGAACGGAACCTCGCCACCTCGGACTTCCTGGAACTCGACCTCGGAACTCATCTCTGGATCCTCGACTCAGCCTGCTCCATTAAACCTGGTAACGATCTCTGACCACCTGTGTATGACCCCAGCTTTGTTTTGGACCACGAGAAATCCCCGCAGCAACACCACCCGGAACCAGAACACTGTGGCAGTAGTCGCCACACAAGCTCAGCTCCTCTTGAGAAGGTTGGTGATTTATATTATTTGTTACAATAATATATTCCTGTTGATCCAACCTAACTCAAGATCTCTGTGTCCAGAACTGCTGATCCCGGTCTCCAGTCCTCGTCCTTCAGTTGCACATTTTTACAATAAACCTGTTAAAACTGTGTTGGTGTTCGGTTATCATTCAGAGCTCAAAAAGCTAATCTTAACACAAATGAAATTTATCTTAATTTACAACCAATTCTAATGAAACAACAACCATAATCAGCGTTTTTTCAATGTTTTTTTTTTTTGGTGGTGTTTGCTTTGAGTTTTGAATTTTCATTTTTGTTTCTTGTGTTATTTGTTTAACACTTGAGTGTTTTGTCTTTACTCCTCAGTCCTGCCACACCTGCTTACACCTGTGCCCTGTCTCATTTAGTTCAGCTGTTTCTCATCTCCTCATCAACCCATCAACCCATATTACCCCCCCCCCCCCCCCAGTGTTGGGTTCAGAAATCAGTGGGGCTGGAGCATCATGCATTCTCATGCCATGACTAGATTCATTGTGTCTCTCTGTGTTGATCCTGCTTATTGAGGTTTTGCTGYCACAACAGCTTTTTTTTGTTATAGAAACAGAATTAGGTTTACTTCAGCATCTCGTGTTCATTCGACTTTATTGAATCCAAAACCTGCTGAAATCTTATCCAACATATATCTGATTAACTTGTGGAGTCAACAGCCACATTTACAAGGTGTGTTAGAGGTAGGATCTCTTCAACCCTGCCTTGCCGCCTCGGTATGTCTTCTGAATGGRCCGAGGAAGTCAGAACACGTCTCAGTCCTGGACTGAAGCGTCTTGTGAATGAGGCCAGCCTGATTCAAGATGGCCACCACAGGAAACACAAAAATGTCTGTAACTCAGTCAACAGATCTTCGGTGAATATGTGAAACTGATTCTGTCAGACAATTGTGAATGTTTGACCAAAATAATGTAGCAATAGTTGTTCTGTTCTTAAAACCGACTTGGCTGACAGCCAGACACATTATAGAAAGCATCAGAAGAGGCAACATTTTGATCAGGTCAAACAGTTTTATTATCTGTGTATAAAAATCAAGAACTCTGAAATCAAGAACAAAGTTAATTTTTGAACTTGAGACACATGTGAGTTGGCAAAAGTATCAGGGAGTCATTCTAATAAACCAATAATGTAATATTTTAGTCACCAAAATGCATCAGAACATTTGTCTGAAATTGAGGTTTTGTTGAAACATTGCCTGCCTGTTTAACTCCACTAGTTTTCTGCTGTAGCACAGTTTGTTTTTATTATTTAAAAAAAGTATTTTATGTGCAAAGCTCGGAGGAAACTGTCAATAAATACAGATTTCTAGCTGGTAATAATGCCCGCTGTGGTGTTTAAATGTATAATTATTGGTAATAAATGGACACAATCTCAGTTTTTGCTTTAGATAAAGAGGTATGACTGTTAGTGCCTGGGTGTGAATCTGTGTGGGAGGCGAGGTGTCAATTCTCAGGGATCTACATGAACTCTGAGACTATAAGGTCACACACTCGCTGACAACTCAACCACCTGTTGCCACACACACACACACTCACACACAAGTACACACAGCCACATTTTCCCACCCACATCAGCGTTCACTACACACCCTCTCTTGTGTGAGTAGTAACTTCTGCACAGTTTGAGGTATTAGTTTACACAACTGGCACTGTAATTAAAAAGTGGAGATATTTTTTGTTACATACGCATCTGTCTGTCTCTAAGGTTTCTTTGGACCATGTTTTGTTCCAAATTCAGCAGAAAAAAATATTTATTTTGTAAATGTTTGCATTCATGAAAATSTAACATATGGTGAGGACATCTGCCATCCACAAAGAAACTACAAAATGAAGCCTTCATTTAAATTAAAAGGACTGATAACCTCCAGGCATGGTGATGTCAATACATAWATTTTATTTGGCTCAGAAAGGTCACAGAACACGTTGCTTTCCCCAAGTCGAAGGCATCGACTAAGCTCGATTGGAGAAACATTATACTGTGTTGGCACAGAAAAGTTCTTTGGTAAGTTTAGGGTAGGTCCTCATGTACCTGGCCCAGTCTAAAGAGCAAAAATAGGTGCAATGTTTTTTGGTTTGGTTTGTTTTTAAGTGCGAATGTCTTCCTTCATGCCCCCCCCCCCCCCACTCCTCTAAAC